AGTCCTGTGTTTTTTTATACAAGAAGTTCAAGTCGGGATCCAGAGGAGAGTCATGAATCCGCCCTCTTTATGCAAAAAGCTAAACAGTAATACCTAAATAAAAGAGAATATAGAAATTGCTTATCTTCCACGGGCAATTCTTGGTTTGCACATGACGTCACCAAAAGATCGATATATAAAAATTAGATAGAAACGAAACACCAGTTATATATATGATAGATAATTATTATGGAAATACATTGCCAAGGTTTGGTTTCATAAAGTTTTTTAGTTCCCGAGATATTTACGCTTGAATGTGTGTCACGCAATAGCAGTCACGTATCCAATTCGAATGAAAAAAAAAAATGATATCAATTTGATGTTTGGCCTCATATATTATCCTTGTATCCATTTTAAGTATATTATTGTAGAAAATGATCGAAAATATTCGATTTTGCCTTCTTCTCAAACCTTTAAAGTATCATCCGCCATGTTGGAAGATACAAGTCGTCCTCCAACATGGCTGCCGCATGCATTCCCTTGTAAAGTAAGACCGTATTCAAATGCTTATAGTTTTCCTACAAAATCGCAGTTTGACTTCAAACTTTGCATAACTGTTGGGAATTATATGCTGTTTTTGGCCTTGGACATAAAAAATTTATTTGGAGGCTTAAAACAAAGTTTTTTGTAAGTATTTCTTGAACAGTCTAAAACGCGTTGACCAGTGAAAACCCCATACATTCTTACCAATTTTCGATCGCTCGTATTTCCGTTTTTTGGCTCAAAATGTCGTAATGATCCTCTAATTTAGATGTTCTCTTGAGGACAATAATAATCTTTCGCTAATTTAGCCTCTAAATAGCGGCTTTTTTAGAATATCACGTGATGATTGCAAACCAAGAATGTACAATATTTTATAGACATATTTTCTAGTAATTCTTGTACAATACATGGAAAACATTTGGCAAATAATGGCAGAATAAATGGTTAGGCTGGCTGTGTCACAACCCGTCTTGAAATGAAATGGAGACTGACTTACCGACGCTACGAGTATATTTTATGACAAACCCTGTATAGACTACGGAACCGTCAGAAGTAAATGTAATGTACATCTGATTGGACGAGCTTGTTAGGTTGCTTGGAATTGAGGTGCCGCTGTATTCATCAATTTGACTAGATGAGCTTGAACCGCCGTCATACACCCTGACTTTGTCACAGCATTGCTCAGTATAAAAGTGCTCAAACGAAAGATGGACAGCTCCTGCGTTAGCTGTTAGTAACCAATAGCAGCTTTGTCCGTTTAGATAGTTGGAAGGGTAATTAGGTGAGGTGATCCGACCAGGACTCTGGCTCGTTCCAGGGCAATTGGTCGATGTTGTCACACCTGAGAAAAAACGAAAATCAAAATAATATGAGTAAAGAAGTTTTCTCTTTATCCAGCATGCAATCAGTCGACGTCGCCACACAAGATGTCTCGTTTCGCCAGCAGAATGAACACCATACCCCATGCCTGCTAAAGAATGCCCGGAATATCGTATTACCATTTCATGTTGTTGTTTTTTTTAATATAAACGATGTCATAAAAAATGAATCCGATCAAACCATTAAATCATGCACGATGTTTGCATCGAACTTTTCGATATTATCCAAGAATTTGAGAAGCTACATCTTCACCCGAATTTGATCAGTTTATCAAAACATCTAAAACGGTGTAAAAATTCGACTATGCCTCACTATAACAAATTTCTCAAMCACTCGTCCTCGATCTATAATATGATAATAAATACATAACTAAAAAAGTGTCCCACTAAGTAGGGGAGACTCAGACCCACACATTCTACCTCAACAGTTGCATCAAGTTGCAGATTATGCACATTATACTACTTTTAGTATCATTGTTGATTAGCTAGAATGCAGTTTTTAGTTAATTTTATTAACTTGGACTTGTCTTGATTTGACTTCGGTATATTGAAACTAAATATCTTTGAGGCCGGAAAAAGAGCCATGGATAACCTCAAGGACTAGGCTCAGTCTCCAGCCGTCGGGATTTCGTGCGCCCGCGATACTCTCTCCCTTGACGGCTGGGCGCATGGGATTCGCTATTGTCAGTCTCGACCAATCAGCGAGTGGCCCCTGATATTTTCAGGGGCATATCATTAATAAATTAGCAGGCAACCGTCGTCGCAGTGTAACAAAATGGCGGACAATTCGTCTTTTGAGATTCTCGTTTGAACGCTCTGAAGTCGTTTAGCTTGGACGAATTTAGAGAAATACAGCAAAAGGCTCTTAAAGAGATTGTTCTTGGAAAAGATGTCCTTGTTATTCTTCCTACTGGCTCGGGCAAATCTCTTATTTTTCAAACAGCGCCACTAGTGTATTTTGCTCGTCTTTCTGGCAGATAATATATCCATTTGGATTATTAAACCCTACACATGTTTTACTTGGGGTAATTTCCATTCCTTTCTCTTTTTTAAAGCGCTAACTATTACATTATATCGCCACTTCGCCAAGTTTTCATTTCACATAATTTCCCGTCTTGTAGCAAAACCTTTTAATACGGCTGTTGTCAGATATTTCACTTCCGTTCACTGAAAAATTCACTTCCGTTATTCATAATATGCTAATTACACAAAAACGTCACGGACATGCGCGACACGTTTCGAACCCCATGCGCCCAGCCGTCAGGGGAGAGAGTATGGAGAGTCATGAATCCGCCCTCTTTATGCAAAAAGCTAAACAGTAATACCTAAATAAAAGAGAATATAGAAATTGCTTATCTTCCACGGGCAATTCTTGGTTTGCACTACGTCAACAAAAGATCGATATATAAAAATTAGATCGAAAAGAAACGCCAGTTATATATATGATAGATAATTATTATGGAAATACATTGCCAAGGTTTGGTTTCATAAAGTTTTTTAGTTCCCGAGATATTTACGCTTGAATGTGTGTCACGCAATAGCAGTCACGTATCCAATTCGAATGGAAAAAAAATGATATCAATTTGAAATTTGGCCTCATATAGTATCCTTGTATCCATTTTAAGTGTATTATTGTAGAAAATGATCGAGAATATTCGATTTTGCCTTCTTCTCAAACCTTTAAAGTATCATCCGCCATGTAGAAATAAGTCGTCCTCCAACATGGCTGCCGCATACATTCCCTTGTAAAGTAAGACCATATTCAAATGCTTATAGTTTTCCTACAAAATCGCAGTTTGACTTCAAACTTTGCATAACTGTTGGGAATTATATGCTGTTTTTGGCCTTGGACATAAAAATATATTTGGATCTTAAAACAAAGGTTTTTGGTAGGTATTTCTTGAACAGTCTAAAACGCGTTGACCCGTGAAAACCCCATACATTCTTACCAATTTTCGATCGCTCGTATTTCTGTTAAAAAGCATCATTTTGGCTCAAAATGTCGTAATGATCCTTTAATTTAGATGTTCTCTTGAGGACAATAATAATCTTTCGCTAATTTAGCCTCTAAATAGCGGCTTTTTTAGAATATCACGTGATGATTGCAAAACAAGAATGTACAATATTTTATAGACATATTTTCTAGTAATTCTTGTACAATACATGGAAAACATTTTGCATATAATAGCAGAATAAATGGTTAGGCTGGCTGTGTCACAACCCGTCTTGAAATGAAATGGAGAAGTTTTCTGTTTATCCAGCATGCAATCAGTCGACGTCGCCACACAAGATGTCTCGTTTCGCCAGCAGAATGAACACCATACCCCCGGGGGGGGGGGGGGGGGTACTCGACCACGTTTTAGATAGGTACGTGCCGCCAGCGGTCTAAATCCCTGACCTTGTTTAAAACACTAAAAAGTAAAAATCCATACCCTGTTCAAGACAAATCGGAAAAATAAGGAATAGGTATCTACGCCGCAACCATCAAAACTGCAAATATATTGACATCCATCAAAGACAATAAGAAGTTTTTGATAACACGTTAATTCTBGGACAGTGAAACGGTATTTCTACTATTTCTACGGTGTTATGAAAATATTACCCTGTCCAAGACACACAAAAAAATTATATCGGTCTCTTTTATCTAAATTGTAGAGYCTGTTTAAGACAATTTCGGGTGAAATGTATACCCTGTTTAAGACAGCAAGGCCAAAAACCATACCCTGGCCAGCGGCACGTCCCCGTATAGCAAATATATGGGAGTACCCCCCCGGGACCATACCCCATGAATGCCCGGAATTTCGTATTACCATTTCATGTTGTTGTTAATATAAACGATGTCATTAATAATCAACTTAGTTTAGAAAAAATGAATCCGATCAAACCAGTAAATCATTATGATCATGCAAGACGTTTACATCTTCACACGAATTTGATCAGTTTATCAAAACATCTAAAACGGTGTAAAAATTCGACTATGCCTCACTATAACAAATTTCTCAAACACTCGTCCTCGATCTATAATATGATAATAAATACATAACTATTCAGTCTCAAATCGTTGGACAAAAGTGTCCCACTAAGTGGGGGAGACTCACATCCACACACTCTACCTCGACAGTTGTATCAAGTTGCAGATTATGCACATTATTTAAGAAATAAAAAACAGTTTTCCGTGTATTATACTCTGATCAAAACACGCGGGATGTGGGGAGAACACGAGAGAAGCGTAGGAAACCACGACGCGAAGCGGAGTGGTTTCTAGCTTCTCGAGTGTTCTCTCCACATCCCAAGTGTTTTGATCAGAGTATAATACACGGAAAACTGTTTTTTATTGCTTTTATAAAATAACAAGCGCTCAAATATTCATGAGAAAAAAAGCCGAGAAAAAAATGACGCGAGCGTGTATTATGCTCTCATCAAACACGGCTTTTTGGTCAATCAGAGCGCGCGTAATATGAAAGTTATTCTACTTTTAGTATCACTGTTGAATAGCTAGAATGCAGTTTTTAGTTAATTTAGATGGCGAACAAGACGTTTATCAACGATCTCAGAAAGGAAGTACTTTAAACCAGCCTACGCTGAATTGGTTGGCCTGGTAAAATATTGCTTATAAATAAAAATAAATAAATTTCATATCAACGCCTTTAGAACCTTAAACTGACACAATTTCACCTAAATCGTAAATAACTTTTGCAGTTCACCTGACGCRGTCTTAAATAAATAGTGAGACTGAAGCACTCGATGGTTTCTCTTCATTATTATCACCATTTCTGGCTTACATTTTGCAAGCTTAAAGGCTACTCTTCGTACACGAAAAAAATATGGGAAAGCAAGCTAGCAAATATTGAACAAAACCTTGATTTCTTAAATATGTGGAAAGTTTGTAAACTGACCCTGGCACCAAACTCCTGGTATATTGACATAAAGTGCAGCCAACATGAAGATGACCAAATACTCCATGATCGTTTTTAGTTAAAACTTTGCTCAACTTTTTGGATGCTTATCTCAGTATGGTCGCCTACGTTGTGCAAGGGCTTGGCTTCTGTTGGATTACTTTATCTTTTTGCCGCACCTTAGAAGCTCTGATTGGCTAGACTATAGAGATCCTTTATGTTATTGGCTAAATTACCTAAGCTATATACAGTATATACAGCTACGTAATGCGCAGAAAATAAACTGCGCATGGTGAAATCCGCGTATGTTAAAATTACTTAGCTGTATTAGAGTGAAAACAAGATACCCGTGGCCAGCTACTCATTATAATTGTCTTTTGTCGTTTAGCGCAAGCAGCTCAAAGGAATAAAGGCTTTGAAATCATTTTGTTTTATTTTTGTTGATATTTTAGCTTTAGCCGTGTTTTGATTTTGTAGCAACGAATTGTGCTTGAAAAAAGCGTGAAAAAAGCACGACCGATGTCATGCTTAGAGTGATTTTCATCGGACTGTGAAATAGTTCCTACGCTAATAGACGCTAATAGACTCTACACCCATTGCTTTCTTTTATTAGAATACAACTATTAGACACTATTGAACACTGACTAATAGTAATTGTTTCACAGTTCGATGAAAACCACTCTAACTGAATTCCTATGTCTTGTCTAACTAAGCACTAACTATTCCCTATTTGTCACTATCTATTTCACGGCTATTCAGATGATTTCTTTGACGCTGTTTACAGAAAACATGGACATATGATGAGTTACAAGTACAACAACTGTTTTCAACAAATTAAATCAATACTCGGTAATGGTAATGGCGCGCGTCAGTCAAAACAGCCTTGTCAGTGACTTTCACTTCTCTCAATTTCGAATGTTTTTAATCTAAAATCGTAGCACGTTTCCATGTCTAGGTGCATAAGCTATACCCCCCATCTCTCTGCAAATAAGCACATTCCAAAAAAATAACACCACTTTTGGATACCTCGGTCTTATCCTTTTCTTGTGGGGCACGAAAATATAGCCGCTTATGCGAGAGGCTCTTGTCACTTATCACAGACAAAGGGAAGCATGCATGTCCTTACTTGCGCAAAAATACGATATGTGAATCAAACATGAAAAGACGTAATGCGGGGTAGCGATCTAGTATTTATTTAATTAATATATTCATATGAATTACCACCAACTGCTCAAAGGAATAAAGGCTTTGAAATCATTTTGTTTGATTTTTGTTGATATTTTAGCTTTAGCCGTGTTTTGATTTTGTAGCAACGAATTGTGCTTGAAAAAAGCGTGAAAAAAGCACGACCCATGTCATGCCTAACTGAATTCCTATGTCTTGTCTAACTAAGCACTAACTATTCCCTATTAGTCACTATCTATTTCACGGGTATTCAGATGATTTCTTTGACGCTGTTTACAGAAAACAGTTCTACTAATCATGATGAACAGACAAATACATTTCAAACTCGTAAATTGAGTTATGTCTATTGATGCGTAATGATATATGACCATACATTCAAAGTATTTTAAGAACGAAATTCRCATATATCATTAGTGAAACTTTTCACAAAAAATTGGGGAAAAAAGAATCATAAACATAGCAGAGGAAGGTCAATTTTCCATGAAATCGTGCAAATTAGTTCATTAAAGAGTTAAAAAGTGTAAGCATGCCTTTTGATTATTATTGCGTTGGTACAGTTTACTCAGTAATAGCACTAATGCCTAACAATACCATTCAGATTAAGTAGGACCCTCTATTAACTATGGTAGGACTAGTTCTTTCACGAAACTAGCGTACTTAAGCGCTTTTTATGAAAAATAGTTTGATAACAATGAATACAGCGCAGTTTTAGTGGCTCCTTCACTTTGATATTAGTTGTGTCGTTATCTCTTTGAACKTTATGATGCGTATTAATGGTAGATAAACAATGAGGTATGTTTTATATTAATTGTTTGTTGATAATACGTATAGTAATAGCGTTAATCCTTATATTCCAACACGGAAGTAAAAACATGTGAATTAACAAGGGATTGATACAAGAAATAATAAAAAAATATTCATAAATATTGAAAGTAAAATTGCAAATGAATTCATGGCCTAAGGTATTGCCAATTAAGAAAGYTTTTTTTTACCGAGGACAAAGTTGACCTACCGTGCGTCCACCCATCCTTGATTGACTTGTTTCTAGAACAAATACTCGTAAACTAAATGATATGTATAAACAAAATTCATGCTTCTGCGCGACACATATAAATTCTGCTACACTTCTTAACTATCCAACGTGACTCCGGTATCAGGAAAAATCTCATTTCACAAAGCATGTTCTTAACTTTATTTTTTGTTTATATTATTATTTTAACTGATGCGTGTGATAACAGGAAAATATATTGGACCATCCGCTTGTTTGATCCTGATCAACCCGGTAATATAAATYATCAATACAAAATCTATAACAGTATAAAAAAGTGCTATCATGGTTTTAGCCATTACAAAATGGACATTCTTTCCTGATTGAGAACATGCGAAATAACCGGTGCAACGAAATACTGAATCTGAAAACGAAAGTATGATTCTAAATGGCCTTGAGGCTACGCGACGGTGTTGATATTCTTGYGCTGTTCCATGCTGCTTGCTCAGCTCAGTTTGCAAATCGTATGCGATAAAATTTGACACAGAATCGCTTTTACTGTTKGAYAACCTTGTTGGATGGTGTTCGATGTTGTTSGATTGAGCATCAGACATTTAAAGTCGTTTTTATTTTAATTTTTACCACACTTTTGTAAATTCACGCGTGATGATTGCCCGATTAGGCAACATCACGCGTCTGCGCTTCTGACGCGTGCGCTCAGTTGAGAGAAGAGAATAATTTGCGCATTTTTTTTATAAAAACAATTACCAAGAAGTCGGAATTACAACTGATAATTTTTTTGATCACTCCGTCAGGCTGSCTGACGTTTAAACACTCCGTTTTATAAGTGTGGTAACAAATCACGCTTGAACTTTGAGCATTAATATAACGAAAATTGTATGCTGCTTGCATAAGATATCGGCCCACTCACAACCGGTATACACTGCTTTGTAAATAAGCACATTCCAAAAAAAGATTATCTCTGTTGGACACCTTGGTCTAATCCTTTTTAACTAGAAGATTGCGATGCAATCAAAGAGTTATAGGAGGGAGATAGATGATGTGTGTGAGGAACTAGTTAATAAGTCACTAATTTTTTTCTGTAAACATGCGGGCATTTAGAAATCCGTAACCAAGATGGCCAGGTGTTTTGATACAGAAATGGCTTTTTAAACACACAAAATGTGATTTTTGAGTTCTGAAGTTCTTTTATAAGCTTCTTACCAATTTATCTGTTGATTTCAGAAGTCGTTTTAGGAGATATCGTGTCAATATGGCTCATATAGATACAGCATTCTATTACGATGATTTCAAGGATTATTCCGATCCATGTCGATCAGTATTTAATGCTCATCGGTTCATATAAACTTTATCCTTCGTAAAAAATCGATGCACGCTAAAACAAATAAGAACTCAAAATATAAATTCAGCATACCTTCACTTTCAGCATTCTGAAAGTGAGGGTATCATCATTTCAAAAGGGAATTGTGATGGTGTTGATAATTCATYGTCGATATCGTAAGGTGTTATGGATGCATATAAATTATTAAAATTCAAAATTTCAAGTTCTATATTTTCATTTTATAGATTTTTTGTCGAAATTAGACCATATCTGAACAAAGTCTGAGGCTTCATACAGATTTATGTCCATGGTATACTTAGCCTGAGTATCAGGCTCTCTCGAAGGGTTTTGGCGCTCCGCCCTAAACCCCTTCGAGAGAGCCTGATACTCAGGCTATGGTATACTTGTCTAACAATCTTCGAGTTGTGTCACTATATCGGCGGCTTGTCTTGTTGCGCTGTGGGGCTCTTGTCACTTATCACAGACCAAGGGAAACATGTCCTTACTTGCACAAAAAAACGAAATGTGATCTTCGAACTGAAATCAAACATGAAAAGACGTAATGCGGGGTAGCGATCTAGTATTTATTTAATTAATATATTCATATATTTGTGAATTACCWCCAACTGTGTGTCGTCTACTTTCAAAGCTAATARCCGCTGTTTTATTTGACAGCAGATTCTCTTGCGCAAGACTTTACCAAACACAAAAGAAAGCAAGAAAAAATGTCGTTATTATAATAGCCTTGAATTTTTTTTCCAAATGGAGACTAACCCTGTATTCCAAAAAGACCCAAGGAAAACACCTTCTGTAAATACAGAGATACATGCTCCAATTTCGAGTTCTGGTTTTCTCTGTTCTAGCTTCAAAACCAAGCAACATCATTCTTTGGTTTCATTGACGCCCCGAAAAAAACGCGTGGAATTTGTGAAGAAAGATATAAAGTTGATTTGAAATATCACACTTTTACGCTCCCAATTAGGAATATTTTGCACACAAATGAGGCTAGCTAGCACAGAGCTGGAGCCAGTAATTGATAGGACATTTTCTTGTGCTTTCTTTTGTGTTTGGTAAGGTCTTTGCGCAAGAGAATCTGTTAGTGTCAAATAAAACAGCGGTTATTCGTTGAATTCGGAAATGCCGTAATAGACGAGTCGAAAATAAAAAAAGAGACAAGATTGACGTGGCGAAAACAGAAAAGAATGTTTAAATCAATGTTACGCTTACTTTACGTGGTTTTTCGTATGAGAAGATTCTAGTGTAACTTATGCCTTCAAGAAGACAGATAGCATGTATTAGGATGTGAGACATATCCTAGCCAAAAGTTCGGTATTTGTCTTATTCTTGATATATTTGACTGGATTTGATTGAAGTATGTCGTCACACCAGGAAGCTGAATTCAAAATAAAGCAAACACTACAACTAAATAAGATATTGATTAGGTTGAAATCCATCTACAACATTTTGAATGTAAACAGTATGAAAAATTACAATAAAACAAAGATATCTGGATCTACAGCATGTAGTTCTTGTAAGAATATATTCTGCCATTGTAGTCTAATCTTATTTGGAATTAAAATTTGACATTAAAACAGATTAAGTACGGGGAAAATGTTGAAATGGTCTACGACTTTTAAACTTTCAAGTGAAAACAATGTCGAAACCTTATGGCGTATTCAAAGAAACCAATGAAACATATGATAATTATAAGTTATCAATAATAAAATATTTCAAGTATAATTCCATAGAATAATGGTACAGATGGTGCTTTTGTTAAGCTTTTTAGTGAAATCAAACCGAATACAATTGAATCAGAAAAAGACAATTTACATAAGATGTGAACAGTGGAGTCTATGTTAAAAGGTGTTTACGGTTGATGCTGGATTGGTTTTAGAGTCATAATTCGCATTTATGTTTATATTGTCATGATAACTATATTTACACTTGATTCTAACCGAATTTCCTGGTTTAAGTGAAAACGAATGAAAAAAGACTTCGACAAGAGCAGAAACCATGTAGGATTCASTGTAACTAGTCAAGCGCAAAACAAAAACATTACTTCTAAACACTAAAATTGTAATTAAATGAAGAAGGAACAATATAAAAACCCAATATATAAATCGAGTGAATMATTCATCATTAGTTTTTCGCACATTTGATTAATGGACGAACCTCCTGAACACTGATTGCTGACTTGAAATATCCAATCACAGGAGAGGTGAAACAAGAGTAATTGCCATCCAATTGGTATACTTACACTAGATTAACATTAGASAGGACTAGTCTTTAGTACAAAAGTGTTAAGTTTTAGTTTTCTTTGACAATGATGGTCAATCACAATTAGAGTCCCTTTGAGGCATTCTACAACAACTGACATTGTTGCTTAGAGATGTAAATTATCCAAGCTTGTCGTGTATCAACGATAATGACAACGCAGAGGTGAAAACAAAACCACAAACATCAAATCAATTGAGAGCAGCTAAACTCAACAACCAACAATTTCATAGAAATGTGACAACCAGCAAATACGGAGAAAAATATTGAAAAAATGATCTTGAAATTACGACGTCACAGCCAAGAATCTTGAATCAGAGTAACTCTGCTTGAAGTCAAGAGTTTTGTACTGTGCCAGTATCACGATGAATTCATCAAACACGAGTAAATTCAAGTTTTATCCGCTTCAGTATCGCTCACAAGAAGAAGTTATCGCAGAGACGTTGATAGCTTGCTTGTTGTTTATCCTGGGAGTCAGTGGGAACAGTCTTATATGTTACGTAATACACAAAAAACGTTTCACAAGCTCGTCTATGTACTTCTTCATGTTAAACCTGGCCTGTGCCGATCTTCTGGTTTGTTTCGCGTCCATACCTTTAACATTGTTAGCCACGAGGCCTCAGCCTGTTGATGTTGAATTTGGCTGGGTGGGATGTAAGGTAATTCGCTTTATCCAGTACATGTTACCACCGGCTTCAGTAGCGATTCTTACCGCCACAGCGATAGATCGATATTTTCATATCTGTATACCGYTAAAAAGAATGATTACAACTACAGCAACTAAACAACTAGCTGGTATATGCTGGGGTTGTGCTATCATACTCACTCTACCCGTCTTCTTCCTTATCGAGACAGACAACGTTACCTATCAAGGACAAGTTTACCAATTTTGTAACATCCACGAAACCTCGCGGTAYCCTATTGCTGGTACAGTGTACCTAGTATTCCGAGGTGTGCTKGGGTTTGCTATGCCGTTAGSTGTTATTTCAGTATTGTATTTTAAAATTGTGCGAACAGTTTGGCGAAGAGATACCAATCATTCAACAAACAGACAGCGAGCAAACGTTGTCAAGTCCTTATTGACTGTTGTRATTGCGTTTACGCTGAGTTGGACTCCATTCTCTGTCTGTAATAAATACTATTTATTTTTGAAACAGAATGTCATTACAAGACARGARATCATAACTTTCTGGGTCGGTTTATCAGCTTCGGTGTACAATCCTGTTATCTATGCCTTTTTTAACAAGAAATTTCGCGATGCATTCAAAGCTGTTGTGTTTRGAAAGAAAATCATGCAGAGGTCTCAAGCTGTGTTATTTCAGGTCCCTGTACACCGACCACGATCAAAAACACTTCCAGCCTTACTAGCAACAGACATACCTCAAGAAAATGATGGTACTTCACTAGCTAAAACAAGACACTTATCAATCGGTTGCCAACAATTACTAGCTAACAGTGAATCAGTCAATGACYATCARGCCTCACAAGYAATCGACATGACAGCATTAGAGACCCAAAGTGAGCAAATAAAGCTCGGTAATTCCAATACAATATTAATTGACGCATGCGCAGATGATAACGTTTTCCATGAGTCCACACATAAGAGCAAAGTTAAGGCAAGGAAGATGGCTCTACCAAATYTTTTGCCGCCAGTACACTTCCCTGTTGGGCTACGACGTTCAMACACATTTCAAGACAGAAACGACGTCACTTCTGSTAGGACAAGATTAAGGCCTGTCAATCAAGATGTACGTCACATTGACGTCAGTCAGGTTCATTTTTCACGGTACGCAWCTAGAAGTACAAAACTATCTAAATCCAAGTCGTTTAACGGTACTGGAACACTGACGTTTTATGATAATCTTGCTTCTCGTCTTTAGAGACAACAACAGGAGGTGGGGAGAGCGAGGAGACTACGTTTCATAGAACTATTTCAAGTAAGGAAGATTCAACTGACAAAATAACTGGCCGCTGGCTTACATATCAACTCAGTCCAAGCAGTTTGAAACAAAACTGTCAACCTGTCAACCAACATTTGCTGAGCGATTGTTTGAATCAGGGCCACATTGGATATCAATATCAGCCTCAAAATTGACAGCAAATGTYTTTATATTTTCTTCCATTCTGTTCAAACTAGAATGCACGATCCGTGTTTTTGGTGAATTAAAGAATGGATTAGAAGGGATTGTGAGACATTATCTTTCGATTATAAATAATTAGAATGACAGTTGTAGTTTATTACATTTATTAGAATGACCATATAAAAAGTCGTACAAATATTGGTGTTCAATCTAGTCGTCTTCCACCAGTCCACCAAAAACCTAAAAACAACAAGAAATCATTACAAAACATTGGAAAATTCTACGAGAAAAACGTTACATACAGATTTTATGCGCACTTTTTACCATGGTCAACTCTAACGTAACTTACCTCGTTTGGTACGACTTGCTTCTCAATACGCATTTCTAGAAATCAAGTAATAATACGTAAGCTGCCACGCGTAAACACCGCGTATTCAAAGTRATCTTATGTGCGTAAATACGTAAGGTTATAATGGAAAGGTATTGCGTCGTAAATACTGAACAGACGASAGTGCACGGAATGAACAGTTCYGCGTATTTCAGTCCTAGTGGGAAGAGTAAACATRTGAKCTTGCTTCTCTCCRATCTCCTTCGAATTTATCCAGCACGCAGCCTTTACAAGGTTGKAATTCAAAGCTAAGGTAGTTTTTACTTAGCTTACAATAAAAATAAAGCGCCATCCGACAGTTTGGAGTATAGTAGAGAAACTATTATTTCGGACGTTATTTTTCGATGATAAATACCTCGAGTAGGCCYGTTATCGTCGTCATCATCGTCGTCATCGTCATCAATGTCGATCTCCTCAGGATTTATCGTTGTCGCTTCAGCWGTGTCTCCAGTGGTCTCTCCCCTAAAGAGAACAGATAAAATACGAATACATATCGACCAACTCGAGTTACTACAATAAGGTCGGATTGTCCGATCGATAAACCGACCACCTAGCTGATTTACTGACAAATGACAGTGTCTTGGCTGACAATGTTAATGAATGTGAGTGACTGATAGATTTAGTGGTCGTTTTACCTGACAAACAAGACTTTTTCTTTAGGTTTCGCTGCTTCTTTCTTTGCCTGTTCAGTGGCTGCYAAAATCTGTTGCTCAAGTTTTTTCATTTCATCTGTTGATTCGATTTCATCTCCTGAAATTTAGTCGAAATTAAATTGTTGTTATTATTTTATATGTACGCAAACATGGGTTAAAATTGGACCATCAACGCATCCAATATCTCTTTGCTGTGCTCATGATGGTGCTAGGTTTGTATGTTTACAGTGCTATTTGTAATGTTCATCAGCAAACAGAAAATCTCGCTCAACAACTTTGAGAGGATTATTTCGTGTGTATTTTCTCACCTGTAGTTTTTCCCGTTGCAGCAGCCAACATTTGAGCAGACATGAAGTTCACCTGGTATAATATTGATAAAAATATTTAAATGACAATTACATCAAGAATAAGGGGCTTTTTCTATATCTTTCTCTACATCAAGCCCTCCTTTTGCTTTTACAAGACGTTTGCAACCATGTACCGATATTGGGTTACCTGTGTGTGTATTCTACCGTCGATGGGTTACCTGTGTGTTAAACTGCGCCTGTACACTTCTCTTTATTCGTAACATTTCTCGGAATGTATCTTCGTTGCCATGGCGAACCTCGAAATCGTTCCAAGTCTTCCAGAATTCGCTTGTTCGCTAAACAACCAATCAACGAGTTATTCATACCAACGAACAGWYGATMGGTTCATATCGACCAATAAACAAGCGTGAGAATGATMGAAYAAACGATCGAGCAAAAGAACAYATAATCGACTTACCCTTGGATCTGACATCTGTGAAGCGTGCATATAAATAGCACGTGCACGATCGATTTCACCCAACTTCCTCTCGAGCTCCGCAAACCGAATACACATTTGTCTAACAAAAAAAAATCAGTTATATTAGATACGCACTTGAATAAAAAGTTACAATAAAAGTTACTGAGAGAATTAAAGAAATTGATAAAAGGATGAAAGAAAGTCCTGCTTAATGCCCTACCTCGCTTGGTCGTCGTGTAAGACTTCAATTGCTTGTTCAAAGATTTCTCTYGTGTGTGTAACTCCAAATATTTCAGCAGCTCTTTTGATATACAAATTAAACATCTAAAACGATAAAGCAGAGCCATTCATCCATTAAAATACGAACTATAATTCACGAGTAATCCACGACGAGTCTAGTGAGTCTAACGAACAAAATACGAAAACGTCACGATCTCACAGTTACCTCAAATTGTTCCTCTGGTACAACTCCTTTAGTAGCTCGATCATAGATGGACATAGCGTGACGCGCTAAACCATGCTCTTCTTCCAGCTTGGCGTACATCAAATAAAATGCTGTAACACAACATACATTGCATAAATTGTGTAATATCGTTTCTGTAACTTTWTCTGCAACTTACTTTTYGAGAATTTTGCTGGACATCCATCCAAGACTTGTTCAAAGAGATCTCTCGCTCGCTCTAGTTTGCTACCACCCTGTAATCAGACATTACTATTAGAACGTATATGGACTGGTAGTTAGCTTACTATTAACTATAACTGACACAATCAGTAAGTATACATATTTTAAAAACGAAGTTTTTTACTTACATAACGTTTGATGAATTTACTGAGATATGTATTCCAGATATCAAATAAATTAGGCCATCTGAACATGGCCACTCCTCGCTCAAAAACCTGAAAAACAAAGACATGRTATGTAAGCCTTKCCTAGTTTTCTATCGCAAAACACCATACTAACCTTAAAGCTTTCCTCAAAGTACCGATGTTCCTCCAAGAACAAGGCATAGTTGATGATAATCTGTGGGTTTGCAATCCTAAGGTCGAGAATACGACTGTATACAGCTTTAGTTGATTGAAATGTGCCCAGGCTCTCCTCTAAGTCAGCGTACATTGACCATAGCTTGAGAGACTTGTGGACACGCTTCTGAACTGTTTCACCCTAAAAAAAAACAAATTAACAACAACAAAATAACTGGATTAAACACATTTTGCTGGATCAAATCACGATTAAAAGGTAAACTGTCTTTAGTTCAGTAGGTAATCTGGAGAGATTTAATCATTTTCCCTCCCTTTRCTTCTTGTTAGTCTCAAGCATGATAAAAAAGCTTATTTTCCCGGGTTTTACCTGATCAAAGTAGTCTGTTTTTGTAGAAGGTACAGCAGTAGATTTCCTCATTAGATCCAAAGCTTGTTGATAGTTCCTACAAAGTGATTTTGTTCGGCTTTAGTTAAAAATATACTTTTAGAAGTCTTCATTTTAGTTCTGAGTTTGTTGTCTATTAGGTAGGTTAGCCCATAATACTCACTCATGTCTGATTTCCATCTCTGCATATTCACACCAAACATTAGCCAAATCATCAACATGTCTGTAGTTAACTTTAGTTGCCTTGTCAAATATAACTCTTGCTTCTTTAATCTGTTTGTGTTTTTCATAGAATTTAGCAAACTCTACCCAYAATGTATGWAGCTTTCCTGTGGCTAACTTAGGATCAACAGTCTGTACAGCTTCTGTAAATGTGTTGATAATTTCAGTGGGTTTTCCTTCGTAGAGCTTTACTCTTTTATGCCATTCATGGAYGTTATGAGGATTTTGTCGCAGAAGAACACTAATAAATACCAAAGAATGGTTATTGAYGTAAACTAATGTTCTATTCCATTCAATTATTCCCATCCATTCATTCCCATCCATATGTTTATTCCCATTTATTCATTTATTTCCATCTATTTAGTTATCAATCACTAACCTGCTTAGAAGTAAAGGCCGTCTGTCCATCAGGTTTTCAAATCTTGCCAGCCTCAACTCCAAGTCAATATCCTCTGAATAAAACAATTATTCATTAAACAAAATATATCATTTTATATTTGGCATTTCAAAAGCTATACCTTCTTCAGTTGCACCCATCTCTGCTGTTGTCTCCATCTTRGCACTTATCATGCTTTCCTCAAACTGTGCATATGCATCAAATACCTGATGAGTAATGTCAGCCAATTAGCACTCAAACAACACTACAAACYTGTCACGTGTATCATGAAATAGTCTTCTTCATGATCCCCTGCCTTTACATTGAAGCGAGACAACCGTTGAGCGTGCAAGGACAGATACCTGTGAATAATTGTCTGTAGGTGTGAAAGAATGTTTCTATCATTGCWCGCTCAACGGTCATCTCGTCTCGACGCAAAGGCATGGCTACCTTTCAAGATGGAACAGGGAACCGTAAAGAAGACTATTGTTTGTAGAGACAAACAAAATGTTGACAAACCTGCCCAAAGTCTCTGACTGTCATGACTGTCTGTATAGCTTCTTCATATACATCTCTAGCCTGGAAAACACAACAAATGTAAGACATTACAAACACTAGCTTAAACTTATTTGCACTCAAAAYATTAGTCTTACTTTTTCAAAATGTCCACTGCGGATATAAAAGTCAGCCAGTAGACACCATARCTGTCCTAAACTATCAGTGAATTTGTGAAGACCACCTCGAATGATGTCTGCTACTTTTAGACTCTTGATTTTAGTAGGATTYTTTGAAATCATCTCACAAAGGTCATGCCATAACTAGGACATAACAATATTATACATATTAATCATGAATTACTTTTGAAAAGTACAAGAGTACACTGTGTAATGATTAATGACTTTTAGATCCTCTCAAGGCATGAGGCAAGGTGATACTTGAATGATGGCAGTAATAGTGATGATGATCAAGATGATAATGATTATTTTATAATCTTATATCAATGATGACAATGATAMCATGATATTGAATATGTTGAATTTAGAGAATAATGTTTACCTGGTGATTAGATTTCCCTTCCTTTGAGACAAAATCTTCCTACAGCAAATAATTATACAAATATCATCATTAGATTCAACCAAGAACTTTAAAAACAATCAAGAAAGCCAACCAACAAATCGAATCAGCCATCCAACCAATTAACTAAAAAGCAAATCAATAAACCATTCAACCAACCAATTAAAATGCCAATTAACAAGTCAATCAATCAAAGCACTGTTATTACCTTATTTACTATGGTTGCTAGTCTTGTAGCAGCTTCGTCTGTCCATCCAATTGATACAAGGTATTTGACATACTCTTCAGTATTCTCAGGTTCAAGCTAAAATGTACAACAACAAAGTTAAAATAAACATATTATGATCTCACACTAATTAGCAATAATATGATAAATATCATCACACTAATAACAGACAACAAAACTCACCTTAAGATATCTCCTATACACCCGTACTGCCGTCTCGTGAATAGGATATTTGCGCACAAATTTGAGATACAACGGCCACACCCTGCAGTGTTGTGTAATGGGCAAGGCTCGTAATGCCCTATCAAACACCCTTCTTGTTCTGGTTATCTTACATTGGTCAACAAGAAACTGACAGTAGTCAAGCCAGATCCTTGGCATCTAAATTGCATATAATCAAAATTATACTAGTATTAGTTTCTGATACAAAACTAAAGTCYTGCAAGTCACAAAAACACTGTTTTTAAGCAATAACTCCCAGGAAGGCCTAACCTAATCCAACCCCAAGGACTTTCTAAGGTAATAACTACAATTTGTAAGATACTATGTAAGTGATTACCTTGTGCATAAACACCAGAGATCTCTCAAAAGCATTATTGACATCTTCATAWAGAGGATCTGTCAATGGCCTTAAACAAATGAATAATGACTTTTATTGATCATTATTTTATGATACAATAATATTTGTAYAACATACCTTCCCTTGACTTGTTTTCTTCTTAGTTTCAAGTAATTGTACCACAGCTTATARCTAGAAGAAAAGCAAGCACAATTGTTAGTTGTTGGACACTTTGCAAAGTGCTTTTCTCTTTTCTGTAAACTTGATTAGTTTGAGATGCAATCATGTATTGTGGATTTTTAACCAATCAAATCACCTGATCTWCTTACCTTCCTGGAAGTTCTTTAAGAGCTCGTTCATATATCATATTGATGGATGACTTTGATCCAGACTTAGAAGTCTTGTGCTCAACATATCGCATCCAACATTTCACKGAATAAGGGTTTCGTAGTATCTCTTCCTCGTATGGGAGATCATCTTCCTCCTGTTTTTGTACAATGTAATTATATTAGATTTTGCATGACTAGTCCTGTAAAAAAATTCAAATGCATAACACCAGACTCAGGCATGGAGTCTCCCCTGTAGTGATACCAGATCAAGCCAAGGTACTATTTAAGTAAAACACATTTTGCACATTCATATGTACTACATAAATCAGAATGTGACTAGTCTAAAGACCCTATACCAAGGAAAATTCAGGTTTTATCTGCATTTATATTTAGCATCAGTACGATGAAAATAAATTGAATGTCTACTTGTTTGACAACACCAAATACTCACGTGTTCCAAGTACACTTATAGCAAGAAATCTAAAATAATACTCACGATCATCAAACTCTTTCCTCTACTCGACGATTCAGGCATAGCGAACAAAACCTGTACCACAAATTAGTCAAATAAATGATTTCGGTTTTACACCGAATATGCGGGGAAAAAGAATAAAACTTCTCGAGAAAATTCTACGAAAGTTTCACGTATTGACCAGCGGATTTGCGTCAAGATCATGCGTGCTTTGAAATTTCTCTAGTTTCATTCCTTTTCTTCCATCATTTAAGTTTCAAGGAACGCCTGCGAGAAATCTACACTTAATGGGAGTTGAAGCGAAAAGATTCGACAAAAAATGAGTGATCTTCCTCMAGGTTGGGAAATTAGAACCTCTCGTTCTACAGGCAAGGAATACTWCTTCAATAGAAACACCAAAGAAAGTTCGTGGGAGCGTCCAAGCGMAGACCAAGTCAGAGCTTCGCATTTACTTGTGAAACATAACGAATCGAGACGACCCGCCTCATGGAAGTCTGACAGAATAACCCGTACTAAAGAGGARGCTTTGGAGATTTTAAAAGGTATAAATAAGCATATTATAGAAATGAGAAAATCGTATGGATTTTTTGATTGATAGAGATTGGGGTTGAATATTTACCAAAAATACTCAGCATAAATATTGGTACTTTTACAATTCTGACTGGGCTTCTTGGTTAGAGTACAACAGTTACTTGAGCATTTTGGTTGCACTTCCTCACTTTGTGATAATTGTGCATACCCTGAACATATATTGATAGTTGATGCAGCCCCTCCCATATTAATAACCCAATCAGAGCATGGATTGTATACAAGTTCTGGTAAGTTACCATAAGTCAACAATTCAATTCCCAGGTCATGAGCAAAACATCAGGTCAGGAAAGGTGACTTTGGCAGAACTGGCCCAGACAGAGAGTGACTGCAGTAGTGCTAAAAAGGGAGGAGACCTTGGATTCTTTGGACGAGGACAGATGCAAAGTAAGGAATGAATGAAACTTGTATGGTGAAGTCGAGAGTGATCCTAACATAAACATAACGTTGTATTGATTTGTCCTTTTGTTTGTTTAATTCCAGGGCCTTTTGAAGAAGCAACGTAAGTCATCAAATTTTATTCACTTTATTAATGCCTAAAAATGACTATGATTTGTAGAGGCTTTTTTTCCACAGAAGTTCAGCTCTGTCTGCTAAGTATACTTTGTTCATTCCTTTACAATAAACTTTTACTTTTCTTTGTGTTTTAGATATGCACTTGAAGTGAATGAGATGAGTGGTCCAGTGTACACTGATTCAGGAATCCACTTAATTTTACGGACTGGTTAAGTTCTTTTGGCTGATAATATTATAGACTGGCTTATGATAATTACAAGTCCACTAAAACTCTTCTTGTGAATGCTTGCAGACATCTTTTGATTAGCCAAGAGTCTCTCAAGACAACCTTAGTAAAGATGTCCTAATTAACTAATAAAARCATAAACCAGCTTCATTCATCTAATAAAACACTCTAAAAACAAAATACTTTCACTGGTTTATTGAAGGAGAGAGCAATACCTCACTTTGGTTAAGTGAGCTTTTTTCTCAAACAAAATTATTGATTTGGATGACAAAAGAAGATTCCATGAAAGATGTCACAAGATCTGGATATTACTAAATTGGGTTTAGGATGCCAAACTTAGCTTTTTTGTTTTAAGTCTAAAACTAATTCGGATTCCGGAACCTTTTGTTTTATCAACTTACATTTCCATTGCCCTGGATTCCAAGTTCCTGGATTCCAGATTTCAGATCCAAAATTTTGTCAGATTCCAGATTGTGTGTCATTTAAAGAAGACCAGGAAATGCTGACCAGATTGGTTTTCAGACGGTTCTTTTCCCCAATACCACAACAATTAACTATAAATATTGCATTTATATAACGATGTACACTTATTCTGTACTAAAAACCCTCTAGAAAATCACTCATCGACCTACCGCTGATTAGAGATTCATTTGTTCTTGATTTTGTGTAATGAATGATTTGTGGCGATTATTATGATAACTAATTACTCGGTCACCTTAACCTTATAGGGGTTAACCTCATCGTTACGTTAAGTTTAGAAATTAACAGTTTGTAATGTAGAGAAATCGACGGATATTTTGTGGTTAATGATGTAATGGCAGAGAATTGCGAACTATTTTTCGCTGMAGTAGAAACGCCCAATGACTAGCAATAYATGCATTGCAGACGGAAATAACTTGGCTTACTGTCAAATTGTCAAACAGTAAAATTACACAAAATAGYAACTGAAGCGGAACATCCTTTCATTCACTTTTGTTCTTTTTAAATTCCCTTTCGGTTACTAAATTACACAAAATAGAGCAAACGCAGGAAAAMCATGAAATAAAATCTAACTAAATAGTAACATAAAAAATGGTCCCATGTGGATTCATCTTCATTGTGTTCTGGTTCATTGATACTGACAATTTGTATCTATATAGCCACTATTTGTAACTATTTAGTTTGATTTTATTTCATGGTTTTCCTGCGTTTGCTCTGATACAAAGAGGTCAGTCCGTACAATTTTAAGGATTAGTCTAGTGCGTGCAATCTCGTGTTCTGTCAATCAAAAAAAAAAATTCATTATACATTGTAAGTTTTCTTTGTAATATTAGTGGTGTTAGGAGAAGCAGGACTACATCTCGAGATATTTTTTGGCGTGTTTTTTTTTATTTATTATTATTATTATTATTATCATTATTATTTTGTGTTTCATATTTTCCATTTTTTTTCTATAGCGAATATGGAATAGTCATGGACCGAAAGAATATACTTTCACAGATTTTGCGTGCTTTTGTTCCATAACTTCGATGATAAACCAAAAAAAGATTAAGTCAYAAATCAAAGGTCGATATTAAAAACACTTTTATTGTGTAACGCATTGTAAAGCTGTTTATTAAATCTATATATGGTCTAATATTGAACGTCCATACAACAATGGCGGTGCATTTATTAAAATGTCTCCTCTCACGTCTTTCGAGCAAATCTTATTTGCGTAAAAATGTTTCAATAATATATTCGTCAAGAACAAAGATTAGATAAGAACACATAAAAAGATTTGTATTTGAAAACAGCTTTTAAAACCATACACTGTCTAATGCATCATGCAAGCTTTAATTCAATAGAAAATATCTCGACAGTGATGGTGGCTTTAATTTTTTT